TAATTCAAAAAGAGCAAAGGTCCTAAGACTGAGCCCTGTGGTACCCCCACTTGTGACATTAATCCAGTTTGACTGAACTCCATTTGTAATAATTCTCTGTTTTCTTCCATCCAGCCACTCTTCTATCCAATTTGCCAACTTATCCCCCACACCTACAGAGATACATTTTTTACAAGCCTTTTATGTGACACCTTGTCAAATGCTTTCTGAAAATTGAGATACACCAAATCTACACCCTTATCCTCATCTACATAGACAGTAACCTTTTCAAATAATGTGAAAAGATTCGTAAGCCAAGATTTTCCCTTAGTGAAACCATGTTGGCTATCCAATAAAATTCTAAACTTTGTGTGATGATAGAAAGGTTTCAAAAAGGAGTTAAAAATGAAATAATTTGTATAAAATTATTTATATAATGTTTCTCACTGGTACTTTATAAAACATTGAAGCAAAATAAGAAAATACTGGAGTTATTTAAGAAAAATGTATATCAGACTTGAATTTTTATTAGTATTCCATCTTTCACTAGTTTCAGTATAGTCCGTGCACTGACTGATTCTTTACACTGGTTGAGGTATATGTCTCTTCCTTCTTGAAGTTATAAACATTGTTGTTGTTATATAAGAGTCATATGTGTAATTAAATTAATATCACTTTTTAAGGCTGTTTTATTTTTAAAGACTAGCAAGTTATAAATAAACAACTCATTGTGCAGAATATTTATTACAAATAGTAAATAATTTCGTTTTGAATTTATGTACTGATTATATGTATTATAACAAGCTACAGCTTTTGCATTAAGAAAGAATATTTCTAAAGCAAGTATGATGTTTTGATCTCTAGTTCGATCATTCTTAGGTACACAAGTTTTACTGTTAAATCTTGTGTATTTGAGAATATATGTGTGCCGGAGTAGGTCTGGCAAACTGGGGAGCAGCTAGACCAACATTTTGTCACAGTAACTGTAGAGCTTTTTAAACTTTAACTTGCATTTCAAAAATAGCTTCTAGGTAAATAGATAGATGTAGTATGTATTGTTACGACAGCAGAAGTCATGTGACGCTGGTAACACGTTATGCGTTCTAGAAAGATCGGGGAACATCACGAATAATCCAGTATGTGCTAGGCGCCCTCTATTCCTGTATATAAGTGTGCCGGATAACGTGAGACAAATTAATTGGAATATAACTGCAGACAGACAGAGACGGACAATTGAGTGAAGCGCAGTAGTAAGTAAGTGCGTGAATCGTTCCCTGTGAATTATAACGTGTTTTTATAAAATTAGTTAAGTTAAATTGGCTGTGGAAATTAAGTGTATTGCAAAGTTGAATTGAGAAAGAATAAACTAGTTTTATTTAAAAAAGGACTTGTTTTGCTAAAGTTTCGTCAGAAGTTAACACAGTATGAATCAATATAACAATGTATAATAAATTAGATGTGTAATCTGGAAGTGTACATGCTAGTTCTTGCTTATAGCTATGGTGAGTTTAAGTGCCACTGAACACCTGTTGTTGTGGATCATAAAGAAGTGCTTGTAAATGATTAATACTTTCAGTAAATTAGAGTAAAATTAGCATAAAATTCAATCTTGGAGCACCTATTTTTCAAATATTTCCCAGGGGACATGCTCTAGACCCCCCCCCCCCCCAGCACTGGCTTGCTTTTCACACTATTTCGAGTTGCCTGACCCTTAGAAAAATTGCACCAGTGATCAAAATGAATGTTGTACCCATTTAAAAAATATTTTCCCTTTCTGCAAAAGCTGTAACTTATAATAAATTCTAAATAAGCATTAGTGTAATTATATTGTATCAAACAACAATGGGCTGAATAATAATTTTTTTTTTCACTTATATAAATGAGCATAATATTGCTTTTAATAGTAATTTCAATAGTGTAACAGAAACTGTGATGACAATTCTTATATGAATATATTTTCAGGTATTCCTGTGCGTTCAAATTCTACTACTACTTTTTTGATGCACCATAAGTTTATCATAATTGACAACGAAACTCTCATCAATGGTTCTTTTAATTGGACCAAACAAGCAGTGACGGGAAATTATGAAAATATCTTAATCACAAACCAGAAAGAACTTGTAGAGCCTTACTCAGCGGAGTTTCAACATCTTTGGCAACTTTATGATCCTGTGCAGTTGGAAAAAAAAAAAGATCCACAATGAATAATTCAGAGAGTACAGAAAATGGTGCATCATTCAGTCGAGTAACATGATACTTGTTGTTTTTATCTGATTTTGTGTCTGAAATGAAGGACACTACTTCCCACATATCTTCAGGTGAAGATGACCACCAGAAATGATTCGATTGACATTCCAGTATTTAACATGTATACGGGTTCTGAGTTTTCAGAACAACAGTTTTTAGTAACATCTGATTTCATGATCTGAATAGTCAAATAAAATCACTTTGTACACATACTATTTACCTGTGTTATCTTTGAGTTATTTGTAATATTGTTGTAACGATGTTTTGAATATTAGCTAGAAAGTCCATGGCGTTAAACTAGTTCTAGAGAGCCTAGATCAGTCGGTAATTTAGTGATTGAGAAACTTTACAAAGGGTCTAGAAACACGGCTAAGTTATAAATACAAGAATTGTGAGAAGTGAGACAGTTGAAATATATAGTTTTAGTTAAGTATTTGGATCAGTGTTAGTTATTTTGTATATTCACTTAATCAGTCTACTAGTTGTGAAATTATACAAGTGAGCTCTTTTTTTTTTATGTTAGTCATGGTAATTCTGTTTCAGCATTGTTTGTAGTTACTTGGGCCCATAAGTTATAACAGAGGAACAAATCTATAGAAACGTTAATGAAGCAATATACTAATTTGTTATCATTACATGGAAAAATGTTACAACAGTAGTGTCAGAAGTAGGATTATTTTGATGAAAACAAATTTTAATCTGGTTCTGTTTTAACAAGTTAATAGCACAACTAGATTCAGAAGCAAAACTGAAGCATTTCTAGAAGTGCCAAAAGAAGAACAAGACCGAAAATAAAAAGAGGTCTGAAAGAAATTTACGGAAAAGTAAAGAAGACCACAAAAAATGAGACAGAAAATTAAAAGACCAAGAAGAAATTTATAGAAAATTTTAAAATGTTCAAGAGATATAAGACATCAATCTGATTGAAGACAAGATCCATGAAGTCATAGGGGACATACAGAGGGGTTACAATAACTTTGAAGAAATGCAGAAAGCTTCAAATTTGATGACGAGGAACCCACTTTGAGACTAATAATGCTTGGAGATGGCTTGAATGGGGAATGAAGAAAAACTTTAATATAAGTTTAACATAACAGCAAATGTACAACATTTCGACAAGGTTTTGTTATCATCAGGTACAATTAGTTTACACTGACACATATATATATATATATATACAGTATGGAACAAAGAGGTCACATGACTGGATACTGTTGCACGAGATATTTTGGCACCCCAGGGTGTTGGTTAGAGTTGGGTTGTTTTGTTCAATTAAGATAGATTCTTTGATTTTTTGTTTGTTTACGTTTGGTTCTTTGTTTAAAATGTTAATAGATATACTATGATTTTTTGAGTTGCAATGGTGGGAAAACATAGGATGGTTATTATTGTGTTCTGTGAATCTGATTTCCAATTTTTTTCCTGTTTCTCCTATGTAGAATTCTGCACAGTTATTGCATGTTATTTTGTAAATGACATTGGTATTGTGCAATTCTAAATAATTTTTGTTCAGTAACAATTTTAATTTGGGGTCGGGTTTTTGAGAGAATTTGATGTTGACAGGAATTTTGTGTTTAATGGCTAGTTTTGTCCAAGTATGGATTATTCTTGAGCTCGTTTCAGAGACAAAATGTAAACTACAGTGTAATGTTTCGTTGTTGTGTTTGTTAGTATAAATTTTTTTGTAAGTTGAGTTTTATTGGAGAGTTTTTCAACAATAGCTGGTGGAAAGTTATTGGTGTAAATAAAGGAATGTTTTATGTGGTTGATTTTTTCATCTGTGTAGTCCATTGAACAGAGTCTTGTGGCTGTGTTTATGAGGGTTTTCAGTGTATTGATTTTTTTGTGTGGTGTCATGAGCAAAATTCCAGGGGAAGTAGAGGCTGGTGTGTGTGTGTTTTTACGGTGAATTTTGGTTTTAAACTGTGTGTTTGATCTAATAATGTTGAGGTTAAGAAAAGATAACTGTTTAATGTTTTTGTGTTCTGTGGTAAATTTGATGTTGGGATGAATGGAGTTTATGTGTTCAAAGAAAGTTAGTGTGTGTTGTGCAGAAGTTAAACCAGCAAAAGTGTCATTGACATATCTGTACCAGTATAGTGGGAATGAAGTGCAGAATGTATGGCTTGTGTTTCGATCTGGGTCATGAATATATTGGCAAGAACAGGTGCAACTTAAACCATCTATTTGAAGGAAATGTTCATTGTTGAAAATGAAGTTGGTTTTAGTTGTAAATTCTAAGAGAGAAGCAAATAGTGTGTTGGGGATGTGGATTAACTTGTTGGGATCATTAATGTAGAGATTGATTACAATATTGCAAGCTTCATTGGCAGGGACTTCGGTAAAAACTGACACGACATCAAAACTAGCCATTAAGGCTTTAGAATTTGGCTGAAGCAAAGTTGGTGTACACCTCTAAGTGAGGCTTTCCAGTTGGCAATGAAACTTATGTCCATTAGAGTTGCAGATAGATTATTAAAGGAACCATCCAGAAGTTCCAGGAATATCAGATACTCTAGTACTGAAAAATCAACTCACGTTGAAAATAGTTTAAAAGAATTGAAAGAATTACTCAGACAGCTAATAACCTAGAATTGGGGAAAATAGCCACAAGAAAATAGGTATTTAAATGTAACTTGAAAGGATATATTGTAAGGAACTATAAATTAAAGCCAGTATTGAATAAGAAATCCTCCCAGAGGATACTAATAAGATGTAAAACATGACTATTACAGACTGTAAGGACTTGAGAGATGTTAGTAAGCCAAGGGGACAGTACCCTGAGGATGTATCTCAGAGCCCAAACAAACCAAAAGAACAACAAAGAGCTAACCAGACATAAAAAAATGATTAACTTGCTGGATTTATGAAGCAAAGTTCAGCTGGAAATACTCCATCTTCCCTAAGTAAGAAAATAATTTCATCATTTGAAGAAAACTATCCACAAATTCAAGGGCATATTGATGGAAATCCTTGCAATTTGGTGATTGATACTGGTTTTAAAGCTACAATTGTTCAACCCTGTTTGTTAAAGAAAGATGGGAAATTGCCTCCAGAGATGAAGAAAGAAGAGAGATTGATGCATACAGCAGCTGGACATAAACTTTAAAAAAAGGGAAGTTGGAAGGTACCCTTACTGTAGGAAACTTCTCTGTAGATGATGATGTGTAATTGACATTGAAGAGGAGTGCATCTTGAGAACTGCCTTCATGCAGAGACAGGGATATGAAGTTAGGCTAGCTTCAACTAAATTTACAGTCTATGACCAAGAAATCCCTGTGTACTATATAACAGTTACTAAACTAGAGGTTGAACTTCCAATGAAAACAAGGAGGTTGGTCACTATACCACCAAGGAAAAGATATTATGAGAAAGAAATTGCATCTAGTGACTTAGGTGTACTGGAACTGAACACTCCATTATATCCTGAAGAATTGGTGGTTGGAAGGACAGCTAGTGATTAAAAGAGATGAGAGGCTATACTGTATGTATATCATGAGCCTCAGAAGAGAAAACCACTGTTACAACAGCAGAAGTCATGCGATGCTTGGGGCATGAGTGCTAGAGTTTCTTGAAGGAACTTGAATTACCAAAGAACCCCACAGATGTCCGAGTGTTTGCCAAGCGCCCTCTTTTTTAGTATTTAAGCTCGGCAAATAAATCCAGCAATAGACAGATATGCAGATAGATCAAAGAGATAGACAATTGAGTCAAACGAACAGAAGGCACCGAAAGTAAAGTGTGAGAATGGCTGTAATTTATAGCGTATGTTATAAAGGTTGTTAAGTTTAAAGTGACTGTGGAAGTTCTGTGTATTACTAAAAGTTGTATCAAGAAAGAATAAACTACTTTTTAATTAAGAAAGGACTTGTATCGCTGAAGTTCCTTGGAAAGAATTTAAACTGGAAATTAACAAACGAGCAGATACATAACAAATTGGTATCAGAGAGTGGGACTGAAAAAAGAAGATGGAAACGAGAAATGGCAAATCAAACTACAGCTTAGCAGATTTGATGGCAGCAATACAAGAACAGCAAAAGAAACAAGAAGAGAGATTACAGCAGTGGTTGGAGGAGAAAGAAAAAAAGAATGAGAAAAGAAACAAGAAGAGAGATTACAGCAGTTGTTGGAGGAAAAAGAAAAGAAACAAGCAAAGAGACAACAGCAGTGGCAAGAAAACCTGCAACAGTGGCAGCTCGAACAGCAAAATAAACAAGAGAAACTACACCAGTGTTTGGAAGAAAAAGAAAATGAACAAGAAGAGAGACTACAGCAGTGGTTGGAGGAGAAAGAAAATAAATAAGAAGCAAGTCTCCAACACTTAAGAGAAACTAGCATACACAAATGGAAAAAGTGAATTAAATACATTAAAGGACGATTTACTGTATTTAACACAGTGAGGATATATTATCTATGGGCCTAATCAACCACAGACAACTGGAAGCCCCTTCCAGACCCTGCAGCTAAACCCTAATGCAGACATCTTCATTCCTGCCAG